ACAAATAAAGGCAGACAATGTTCCAGCTTATGTCTCTAAGAAAATGAAAGTTTTTAGCTTTTTACAATATAAAGCACATTACAAGCATACCACACAATCCTACAGTATAGGCAACTATAGAAAAATCAAATCAAACTCTAAATGAAATGTTAAATAAACAGAAAGGGATGATAACTACCCCCAGAAACAGATTTCATAATGCTTTATTAAGTTTGAAATTTCTAAATGCTAATGAGAAAAGAACAACAGCTGTGGAGAGACATTAGATAATAGGAAAAAAACTGCAGAATTAAATCAACCAGTATACTTTAAAGATGTACTGACCTCAGAATGGAAAACAGGACATGTGTTACATTGGGGAAGGGGTTTTTCTTTTGCCACAGGAGAAGAAAATCTATGGATACCGTCACAATAAAGATTTGATTTGAACAAGAGACACCTCTTAATTAGAAGAGATGATAGTTTATTAAGCATCATGGCTGTTTAAACTAACCTGTAAAACTAACAAGTGCTTTTCATTTGATATATTTAACTTACCAAAAGAGAATCTCCCCAAAATGAGGGTTGGGAAAGGGTTTTGTTTCTGTCTTTTTAGAAGAATAAAGGTATCCAGGTAAGGAATGTGAAGACCACTGGACAAATGAGACATCTAAAGTAAAAGGACAAATCATCCAGAAAAAAAAAAAATGTCCCAAGAAAAAGAGTAAATTTCATAAATCTTCCCAAATGTTTGTTTCTACTATTTCTAAATTCTCAAATGTCTTGGAACTAAGACAGGAAGATTGTGAATTTGAGACCAGACTGGGCTACACAGAAATACCCTGTCTCAAAAGAATGAAACACAAACAGACGTCTTCTATGAACTCTTTGAAAGGTGGGGTTCATAACATATTAATCACTTTCCTGCTAAACCTGAGGCCCGGAACAAGATCACCTGGGAATTTATGGGAGACCCTGAGAATCAATCCTTTCATGGTGCCACCACTGGCTATAAATGGACCCGGGTTGGGTTCCCTGAAATATGCTGAACATTTAGAGCTCGGCTCTGACAAGCTCCTTAGAAGTCATTCAGTCACCAGCTTGTTTTCTCTCTTAGTCCCTCTGTCCTGGTGATTCTCAACTGAATCATCCCCGTTACCTGGGGAGGATGCAGGCTGTAGAACATTCCAGGAGAGTGCTCAGAGACCTCAGCTATGGGTTATATAAAAACATTTCTATTCTATTTCTTTCAAAGGATGCCCCATTCTTGATGTCAACCACTTCAAATTCCATTGGACACACCTGCCCCCTTTCCATCTTCATTTAGCTTCCTTGTTTATCTCAGAGCTACAAAGCAGAGTCTTCTGGTCCCCGCTCTTGCTTTTCCCATTTAATTGCATTTTTCTTCATCTTTGCATTTTCTTCCTTGTTCCCGAGAGCTAGAAGGTAAAAATGTCTGGTCCTCACTGTTGGTGCTTTCCTTCTGCTTCTGAGGTAAGGTGGCTAATTTATACATCCCAGGAATTAAAACAGTCATGAATACTGTTGACCCCAGTCAAGTGTACAGAATTATTGGTAGATCTGGGTAGAGTCCTTGCAGAATTCCAGACAGTGCAGGAGTCGCCATCAGTCCCAGGGCTGCACCGACCAGAATAAATGCCGTAGATCTCCCGCTTAGGCTGGTGTACTGCTCAATCCAGGAAATGCCACTGGGAAATGTGGCTGCCATTGAGGCTCCATACACAGAAGTCGCGATCCAGAGACAAAGGGGGCTCTTGTCAAAAAGCACCAGAAACAAAGATGAGACAAGGCTGCCAATGTTTCACAACACAATCATGGTTCCAGGCTGTAACAATGTTGCAAAGAAGATGGCCAGGCCCCTGCAGGCCGCAAATGTCCCCCAGAAGATGGAGTTCAAACCAGCTGCTTCAGTTTCTTTCATGCCAACATGGGCGGTGGCGAAGGAGAATAGGAAAGAGCTGTAGGTCACCTCGGCTCCAACATAAAAAAAGAAGAAGATGAAGAGGAGACAGAGCAGGGCCCAGTGGTACTTAGCTCTTCGAGCTCCCTGATCAGATGCCGTGGATTTTTTCTGTTTTGAGCTTTTCTTAAAGAATGGAGCAAGCAGAAAGACAGAAACTTCTAGGATATAGGTGCCGATGGAAGCGTATGTCCACAGCAGATTCTTGTCCTCGGGTACCGCAACCATAGAGTATGAGGTACCTGCAGAGGATCGGTTCAAGGCTGAACGCTCAAAGTCGGGCTCTGTGTAGTTCTGAGTGGACGCTGTCGTACCCCAGGCCAATTTAGCCAGCAGAGGAGACAGGAAGGCACCCAAGGCGAAACTGAAGTGCAAGGCCTGCATGTGTGGGGCTGCTTTGTCCCCCCAAAGGTTCAAGATGAGAACATTGCCACCTGCCAACGAAAGAAGTGGTTGAAGTTAAACATGGCAATTTTGCTAATATGTGTGTTAGTGAACAAACTCCACTAAAGGTATGTGTCTGTATGACGCCGCACCAGCATGGCAGATATTCTAAGACAATGAAGACTGCACCTGATTCAATTCTGTGACACAGGCTCTCTGCACACATGGTTTCATACCTACGCATGGACTACGCATGGAAATCTACTGTCTGATCAGCTACTACTTCTTAGAGCCATGAACATTAACAGAGGTTTTTCTAAAATATGCTGGCACTTTACTGGGAAATTTCATTTAATACACACACACACATATGTATAAATGTATGCATACAGTTCACACAGCATCTACCCTTTTTGTACTTGCAATAGTAAATATTTTATTTATTTATGCTTAAAAACAGGTGCAAAATACTGATTTAGAATCCTTAATTCACCATATGTCCTGGTGTGCCTACTACAGGAAATAATACATATTTTGGATTTTGCCCTTAGTGTTGTCAGAGGACCTACCGGATGAGAAGTTTAAAGCATCAAGCCTATGCATTTCTTTTTAAAAATCAAAGTATTTATAATCAAACAAAGCCTAAAGAATAAAATATTTTCCAAATCTATAAGATAACATTAGACAGAGAAGGAAAGACTAGAAGGATGGAATATGGAAGGAAAAATATCACATATGTGCTGTGGGAGCTCCTTCTGCTCCTTCAGCCAATAGCCTTTAAGATACCAGCCCACTTGGGCATGGTCTCTTTTGCTTTAAAAAGCAGCAGTTGCTGCGCTCTCTCTCTCTCTCTCTCTCTCTCTCTCTCTCTCTCACACACACACACACACACACACACATGTGCTTCCAGCTACTAGACTCTGTTCCTGGTTGCGTAGAGGGCTGTTGTCTAGGACAATGATCTGTAAGTTTTTCCCCTTAAATAAATAACCCTTTTATTAATCATAATTCCAAACTGGTGTGGGATTGTTTTGTGACTTACGTCTACACGTGGCACCCACGTGGATTTAAACTCCACGCCTCCCGGGCTCTACAGGCCCAGACAGTCTCTGCCCCCCTGGTTTGCTCTTTCCTGAGCGGGTTTTTAAATCCCTGTTGCAGCACGGAGCCTACGGCAGCGTGAGTCAGAGCACAAGCAGTTGCCTAACGCTGCAACTCCTCAGGGTGACTCTTTGTCACATAGTGGCGTAAGTGGCTTCTGGGTTGCTGTTCTCTGCCACTGGATTCTGGGTTTATGGCTCTATGTATGGAATTGATTTAATTACATTTACTTTGTTGAGAAACTCATATTTCCCAGTCTGTAACAAATACCAAGGTGGACATGAAACAGGACCCCGTTTCTGTCACCTTTGCAGATTCTAGTCGCGACTTGGCAAAAGCGCCACCTGCTGGATAACAGGTAATATGGCAGTTTTTATTTCCAATGCAACTTTTACTGCTTTCTTTACTAATACAATGGATTATAGCATGTGAGGCTTACATGACTATGGGGATCCTCAATTTACTGGTTACTAGGTTTCAGTTGTCTTCCCCATAGTCTACCATTAAGGAAGAGTATGGCACTCCTAGGAATGATACAATCTTTACAGACTAATAATGAACAGCTGGTTGACAGGATGAAAATAACCGAAAATCAGAGGTTATCTGAAAAGTGGATACTATGATGGACAGAATTAATTCCTTATCGAAGGGTACTAGGAAGTTATCGGAAAGAATTCATACTGTTGAATTTGACATTCAAAAGTTATCAAAAAAAGTTTTGATAAAGTAACAGACAGAATGTACCTCCAGGATAGCAATCTACACGATGTTCAAGAAAAATTCATGGAGGAGATGTTATCTTGAAAGGAGAACATTAAAACCTTGGAATCACAGGTGCAGAATGAGGACCAGAGACTTGATGCCTCCATGAAATCGCTAGAAATATATACAGGCCAGGATATTCAGGCTTTACAAAAAAAATGATAAAAATGAAATGATTGAGGAAATTATTGGAGTTGATGAACAGGGAAAGAAGGCACAAGGACAGGATGCAACATCGCCAGTGGCTGTCAGAAGTGGATTACCCAGGGTTTTAGTGTCCTACCCTGTAATTTACTAAGACAAAGCATCAACTTCTAAAGGCTTGAGAGGAGCCAAAGAAGATAGATGGATGCCAATAGGAATGAATAATCTAAAGGAAATTAAGAAATCTGTTGTAACTTATGGCTTGCATTCTACATTTGCTAAGGAGATGATCAAGGCCTGGGCTCCTAACGTCAGGGCAAGCCCCCATGACCTTTTTCAGTTAGTTTTGGCAGTCCTGGATGATGGACCTTTGCTGATGTTTGGAATTTATTTCAGAGAGGAATCCAAACATATGGAACAACAGGGAAAAGATAAAGGTCTTGAGGTTCCCCAAGATCAACTTCTTGGCAAAGGGCCATATGCTGACCCATAGATTCAAGCTCTTTAAAATGAAGAAATCTTGTCCCTATGCCACAAAGCAGCCTTGAATGCTTGGGACAGGATTCAGGAACTAAGGAAAAGGATCAAATCATATACCAGGGTTAGGCAGGGACAGAGAGAACCCTTTCTGACTTTTTACAAAGATTAATTAAGGCTGTACAAATAGGGGTAACAGACCCAGAAGCTAGACAAATAATTCTTGAATTCCTGGCTTTGAAAATGCAAACTTGAATTCCTGGCTTTGAAAATGCAAACTTAGAATGCAAAAAGATAATTGGGCCTTTAAGGTCTAGATCAGCACCTATGGATGAATGGATTCAACATACAATGAATGTTGAGACGTTTGGCTATAATGATGAATCTTGGGTAGGAGAAGCGATTTCCAAAGCAATGAGGAGACGTCAAACTGACAAATGTTTCAATTGTGTAAAATAGGACATTTGAAAAGGGATTGTAGGCAAGGAATTTCTAGAAATAATGTCTCCTCTGGGAATGGCAAAAATACTCCTCAGCATTCAGGTATATGTAGAAGGTGTGGTAAAAACCGACATTGGACCAATGAATGCAGGTCAACAACAGACAGACAAGGCAAACTGATACCATCAGGAAACTCCTTGAGGGGTCTCTAGCAGACCCCCAAGCCAAAAGTGGCCTAGTCATTCCCAGTTACAGTGTAGAATGTGTCTCACCAGGAAAATTAAAAAAAAAATCTAATGCCTGCTATGATACTGGTCAATCCTGGTCTGAATGATGAGTTAAATTGTGGAGGATGAGTCAAAAAATCCAGTAGGACAGAGGAAACATATATTCTGACAGACTTCTATAAACAATCAAAAACCAAAGCTAAGAGTTTATAAATGGCATTTTTATTGAAGGCTTACTAGACATCAGTGCAGATGTAAGTATCATTACTCCAGAATCTTGGCATCTGAATTGGCCTCTTCAGGAGGTAGATGATCAGTTCCTGGGAACTGGAACCCTATCTCAGGTAAAACAAATCACAAGATGGGTTGAACGCATAGGGTCTGAAGGGCAAATAGGAAGACAAAGGCCATGTATAGACAATATCGCAATGAATTTGTGGGGTTGTGACCTATTGCAGCAATGGAATACCCACATTAACATTCCTGAAGCCTGTAACATGTTGGGTCCAGCTTGTTGGGGTTTATGTCCTGCCCTGTTCCCCATGGCCAGCAAGCCCCAAAGAAAATCACACAGAGGTTTCCATAAGATTATAAACTGATTGGCCCATTAGCTCAGGCTTCTTATTAGCTCTTGTAGTTTATATTAACCCATTATTCTTATCTATGTTATCCACATGTCTCTGTACCTTTTTTAGTGGGGCTGGTCACATCCTGCTTCTTCCATGACCTGGGAAGG